TCTGTCTCTCTGTGTCTGTGTCTCTGTGTGTGTGTATGTGTTTTTGTGTGCCTTTGTGTGCGCTCAGTTGTTTGTGCTGCTCACGTCTGGCTGCTTGCCTAATTGTCCATTTGTTTGCCTCTGTGTGTGTGCGTGCGTGTGTGTGCCGGTGGGAGCTTTCTCTCACTCTCTCTCCCTCTGCCTCTGTCCCTTTCTTTACTTGTCTCGCTCGCTGTGACACACCGTTTGGCTGGCGAGATGTTTCAGGATGACTATCTCATTTCCAGGACAGGGAAGGCACCTTCCTCGACTTTGCTCGTGAAGTGCGCCGCAAGCTCAGCGCATCAGCGACGGGGCAGCGGCAGCGGTCTGTCAAGATTGACAGCTCCGGTCGCTCGCGCACACGAAAAAGAAAACGCTACAAAGAGCAAGCTCCTGCGCAGGGCAGCGGGTGCCCGGCTTGCCGGTGATGGCTACGGGTGGCTTTCGGAGTCCGGCTCTCAGGTCGAGGCTTGCGAGGCTTGCATGGAGTCCACACTTTTAGGTGACCTTACGACATTGCCGAACAAGAGTGACTGCAAAGTTGAAGCGCAGCAGAGATCTTTTCAAGCCCAGCTAAGATCGCTTTGAGGCGATGTGCTCTGAACACCCGCTCCCTGCAGAAGCAGACACGCGAAACTGTAGAGCCCATGACTGCTCGTCCCAGGTCTGTCCTTTTGCAGCGAGGCCGTAACTTCGGGCGGTTGCGATGCAACTAGGCACCGAATTTGAATCGTACTTTATCCCGGGTCGGGATGCAATCTATTTGATGCAGCGCGGCCCAGTGATTCAAAGATGCCTTGAAGCAGGTGCATGTCTGTATATACATATATATTTATATATGTATGTCAATGTATGTATGTATATACATATATGTATATATGTATGTAGGTATGTCTGTGTGTATTTGAGGCCATAAGATGCCTCCTGCTCAGGCATTAGTCAACGCTGACTGAGACACCTGCCATGAATGAATGAATGAATGTCTGGGTGTATATGCATGTTTGTATGTATGTGTATATATACATATATATATAACATGATACATAGAGGTCCTTGCCTCATACATATATATATATGTATATGTATACACATACATACATACATACATACATACATACATACATACATACATACATGCGTGTGTGTGCATAGAGAGATACTCGTTGGCACGTATTAGTTCTTGTACCGCATGGCATATAAGTACACGAGGAAGGTCTTCTATGATATTTCTATATCTACACAGACACACAAACGGACATAGTTGAAGAACTTCGTATATCTCTGTGCGTAAATATATATGTATACACACACGAGGAGAGTCACTGGCTCGTATGAGTCCTTGCGCATGTATGGATTCGTTGATATGAATGCCAGCACGTGTGGTTGTTTTGTTTGTTTGGTTGTCTGTGTGTTTGTTTGTTTGTGTTTTCGTTGGTTCTATGCATGTTTCTGCCTATCCCGCTGTCGAGGGAGGCCTCCCATTGACTAGTCTCGCGTTTGCTTGATGGTCCAGTTGTTTCCCACACCCACGTTGTTCTCTCCATGCCTGGGTCTTCTTTCGGTTAGTACTGGCATTTTCCTAGCCAAGGTGGTCGGTCTTTGTCGGCCGCTTTGCCTTCAGCCAAACTTGCCGCATAGGCAGCGCTGGGCTTTGGGTCCTCGGTTTTGTTGAGTAGACGTTAGATGTTGTCGAGGATGTAGGCACGATGTGCAGGGGTCATCGTTTGTGTCCGTGGCTGGTCCGCATGAGCTCCTGGTACGTGGACATCCCCAGTCAAGGCAGTCCTAAAAACTCCAAAACGGAAGCTCAAAGTCAGGTGGTTGCATGGAGAGGCGGTGGATGCAGCTTCTTACCGCGTGAGGCCTGCTGGTGGTCTTCCGCAGTGTGGACGCCTAAGTACTACTAAACCCCAAACCGTGGTGCTTCAGGAGCCTCGTTGTGATGCTTCAAACCGAACCTGTGCAAGCTACACGGAAGCTTCCCATGAGTACTTCTGTGCAGCTCGCCAGAAGGCTATTTGGAATGTCTCTGCTCAACGAGGAAGAAACTAAATATTACCATTCTCAGTGTGACTGAGTGTATGCATAGTATGTAATGCATACGGCTTACCAAAGAGCTCACGCCTACATTTAGCACAAACTATAAGCGATAAGATTGTGCATGCGTGTACGTGCCATACATGGACACGTACGCATATTACATACATACATACATACATACATACATACATACATACATACACACATACACACATACACATACACATACACATACACATATACATATACATATACATAAATATATATATATATGTATTGGTACACACGCATGTATATACATATATATATACATATACATATACATATACATATACATATACATACATACATACATACATATATATATATATACATATGTGTGGGTATTCATATATACAGGCATGATCGCCTCCGTAGTTATGCATCACAGCAACACACCCCCAACCCCAGCTACACTTCTTAGTAATAGCATACACGCACGCAGTCACAGACATCTATATATATATACATACATATGTATACATTTCTTTGAAACAACATGCACATGTGTGCACATGAATAAAAACTACATTACAACATTTAAATATGAATGTAGACAAACAAGATTGAATATGTATTATATTTATATATATATATATGTATGATCCCACCCTCACCCGCCCCTCCAAAAAGAATCCACGGTTTTTTGTCCTTCATAGTCTCTTTGGGTCCTTCTCACGCCTTTCTGTCCATCATGTCCTGTTTATGGCCGTCTCTGCACTTCCATATATACCTATACCAAGCAAACACCCACATACTCACACACGCACACACACAGACAAAGTGTGCAAACTTGGCAGTAACGTGGAAAGAGTGAAGACCGAACGGAAGGATTGAGTTGCAATCCTGGCCCGGATCCAAGATCCAAGATTCTCCGAGGCGTCTAGAAAGCAAGGTTTAGGCACCCTGTGAACAAGGAAAACATGCAAAAACACGAGGTTTTGTCTTGTGGGAGTGCAGAGTAAGACTGGAAAACATCACGAAACTCCTGGGTTTCATTCAAGAGGGCGCCGAATTCATTGGTATTTACAGCATGTCGTACACAGATAATCCCGAGAGTCGTGGTTTATGTTGTGCCTCGGTTCAAAGTTATGGGTTTCGTCTGCCGATGCATGAGAGAGAGAACAAGCAAAAACTCGAGGTTTTGGAGAAGTACTTCAGTACATTAAGAAAACCCTGCGTTTCACGGTGTTCTTGCAACAGAGAAGCACATTCACTAATATTTGCAGTACTTTGACACCGCGAGAACGGCAGAGTTTACCGACAGAGTTGGTTTTATGCGGTTTTGGGATTCAGAGTTTAGAGTCGGTGAAAGTTTAGGACGGGTTCAACTATATCGCCGACATCATCATCACCAACATTATCACGTTCATCATCATCATGAACATAATCGTCATCAGCAGCATCACCATCATGTCGCCATCGTAATGTCGTGATCACCATGTCGCCATCATCACGTCGCAATCGTAATGTCGTGATGCGTGTCGTGATCATCATGTCGCCATCGTAATGTCGCGATCACCATGTCGTCATCAACACCCCCCCTGCTTCGCCCAAGATCTAAGTTGAGGTCCGAAATCCAACCTCGAAGTCCTGAACACAAAGTTGTTGCGGGGAAGCCCCCTATTGTAGTACTGTACAGTGCAGTATGGGAGTATAGGAGCCATTCACATGAGCGTCGGGATCATGCGCAAATCCATCACTAGGCTCTTGTTTCAAGGCAGGTTCCTGACTTTGCGTTAAGAAAGGGTCATAGGAGTAATATTCAAAAGTCGTATGTAGATTTCAAGAGAATATTTTCATGTGATTGAAGCTAGGGCAAAATCTGGCACGATTCCAACTAGTACATTCACAAACCCCTCTGACACCCGAACCGTCAAACTGCTTGGAAAAACATTCAATCGCGTGGATTTTTGAGTGGGGGAAGGCTTTATATATATATATATGTGTGTGTGCGTGTGTGTGTGTATATATATATATATCAGCTTGTTTACAAGCATACACTTACGTATGCAGAGTTTTGCATGATCTTGTTCCTGCAACGTCTAATTTTGCAAGGTATGCTGCACACGTACGTTAACGTACATACGCATACGTATACTTCGTATATACATGTGAGCCTACAGCCATGGAGGGTTTGGGGCCTGTGGTGTCCTGTATGGGGCGTTGCATAAGTCCGCTTTGGATGAATGAGCAACGAGTTTCTCCGAAGAGAACTCGTAGAAGAATCTCATTAGGGTGATTTTGGCGACCGTACGTGGGGTTTTGTTGAATGTGTGGGATGGACGTCTCCGGTCGGGCCATGGCTTCACCGCACCTGGCAACACATGGCACTCGAGACATCTACATTGCAGAGCATCCAGTGCTGCATCCCGGATCCTAATTAGTCCTTATGGCCTAAGTCATTGACAATACGAGTTCCGCGTGGCAGGCTCCGCGTGCCCTTTTTGAAGAGTCTGCTCATTCCTGGGCTCAGTGGCCTGTCTAAACTTGGAAATATATATATATATATATATACATGTGCATGTGCTGTGTGTGTGTGTACATTTTAACACACCATACCGATACGCCTACATATAAATCATTACAATGGTCTGTTTGGTTGTGTTGGCGGGATGTTTTTAAGGCTAAATCCCTGAAGAAGAGAAAAGAAGAGCCAAGACCAGGCGCAAGCCTGCAACATGCGTCAAGTACTTCGAGTGTTGGTCTTGCCTGCCATGTCTCAACAAAACCGACATCCTCAGACAGCATGTCCACCCAATTCATCCGAGGTTATTTCTGGCACCAGCGCCAGCTGCAGCGCCTGGGAAGCGACAAGCCCGTCGAGCCCATCCGAGTGCTCGTTCTCCTGAGGCGAAAGGGTTAGCTAGGATCTTTGGTTTAGGGCTTTGGGGTTTCTGGTGTTAGAGCTTTAGGGTCTTAGGGTGCAGGAGTTAGCTTTCAGGTTTACACAAGTGTTTAGTTTAGTTTTGATGGTTCAGGCTTTATGGGGGCGGATGGAGGACTGGGGAACAATGAGCGTTTATGGCATGAGACGACAGAAGGAGACAACTAGTACAAAGACCCGACGCACACGGCGAGGAGTTGAGAGTCGATAGCAAAGAACGACTACCGGCATCGGAACCAAGAAGAGAAAAGACGAGCACTCAGAAGAGCCGGGAGGCTTCTTTGCTTTCGGCTGGTGCGTGCCTACATCTTCGAGCCACGCCGGCTCTCGACCAGCAGCTGCCGCTTTGCCCACGAATCGCCGATTGGAGTGGGGTTTTTGGGGGATAGGAGTTCCATAAACTAAAGAGATGTACGCACATACACACTCTTAACTGTTGGTGCTTCTACACTTTCCTTCCGTGTGTTGTTGCCTGTTTGTTAACCTATTTATGTATAAGTATACATCTATACATACATACATACATACATACATACATACATACACATATGTATATGTGTTCAGCTTTAGCTTCTTAGGCTCAGAAGGATCTTAGAAGCCCTGCGTGGCCTTTACCGCCTTGATGTCAGTTGCTCCAAACACCGGCCCGGTTCAAAGTGATGCAAGCAGACCCACAGGAGCGGAATGGATTCTAAGAATGACAGCAAAGAGCGATATCAGCGATCCTTCAAGCTAGAACCACAAGGCCAACGTCCAAACCATCTCGAGGCGTTGGTTTGGCTGCTGTGGGTGCCTTGCTGCCGGCTATTGGCACCTTCCTGAGCTTTTTCTGTGCTGTCGCGTTCTCGATCGTCTCCTTCAACTTGCTTGTTGCTACAGCTTGTTGCAGCCGTTGCCAAACTTGAGCTTTACTCCCAGTCTTTCCAATCTTCAAGAATTCGCAGGCTTTTCTCATCTGCTTCAGTGTACTCTCAGGAGTAATCTCTTCTCCTCCGATATTCATCTTCTCTTCCATCGACTCGGCAATCTCTCTTCAGCTTTCTTTCTCTTTTCTTCTTCTTCAATCTTTTTCTTAGCTTCCATAGCTTCTTCTTCTTGTGGCTTTTTTTGCTCGATTTCAACGTCCTTCTCTTGTTCTTGCTCTTTTACTGCTTTCTTCAAGTGGATCTTCATACTTCCCTGAAGCTTCTGTTCCACAAGGCTTTCTTTCCAGGATTGTGACTACAGTAGTCCACTCTCTGTCACTTGTTATCTCCAACTGTTCTCGTCCAGTCCATTCCTCCGCGCATTCGAAGAACTGTAGCTCTTTCCATAATACCGTTTCACCTTCATTCCGCGTAATCATCGTCGTACGGTACTTGAATGCTTTGACATTGTCTTCTTCTTCCAGATTGGTTTTGCAGTTGATTGTCCGCCGGCATGATCTGACTCTGGTTCTCTATATAAGCAACCGTTCAACAGTTCATATTGCTGACCCACTACTATACTATACTGCCACTTTCTCCTCTTACAGAATACTGTCATTGTTGTGCATATTCATCTCGTGAATGCGGCCAGCACACGAGACCCTCCAGCAGGAGTGTTGGGGCACCGACACTGGGGCGGCTTGCGCTCCCTGTGATTCTGCCCAGATTGTGCCGATAAGACTGGCGGCTTTAGGTCAAGTGTTCTCGGGATCCTTCGTAAGTAGGTACTATGACGTCGTCGTTCTCAACGTCGTCGTGGTCGTCGTAGTAGTGGTTTAGCGGCAGCAGCAGCAGCAGCAGCAGCAGTAGCAGCAGTAGAAGTAGCAAGTTGTGTAGCAGTGGCAGCAGGAGCAGGAGCGGGAACTGGAGGGGTAAAGAGACCAGATGGATGCTGCTAGATGCACTAGGGCTATGGGATTTTACGATCTACAGGCTATAGGGGGTCAGAGGCACCACGAAAAGCGTGAGGTTCGTAGGTTCAAGTGTGGAACTGATAATCCTTTGCTGTGCGAAACGTTTGCTAAAAATGCTGCTGTGACTGGACTGCATTGTCCTGCTTTGACGCAAAGCAGCAATCTGGCACTGCGGAGTGGGAGCAGGAGCAGGAGCAGTAGTCGTCGTGGTGGTGGTGGTGGTGCAAGAGGCATCCGCCGATGCCTCCTTCAACAAATTGTAGTGACTTGGCGAGGGCATGAGTGCAGATCACAGACGATAGCTTGTGCATAATGGAAGCTGGCTGGGGATTTAGAGATTGTATTAGCAGTGATAGAAGGCAGTGTAGCAGTATTGCAGCAGCAGAATGCAATAAACCAGTACAGCAGTTTTGCAGCGTCGCCGTGCAGCAGCAGGAGCGGTAACCGCAGCAGTCACATCAGTGGCAGGAGCAGAGCAGTTGGGAGTAGGGAGTAGGAGCGGGAACAGCAGAAACGAAAGGGTACTGTAGCAGCAGTAGCCTCAGCTCAAAGTTCAAAGCCGTGGGCTGCATCTGTTGTGACGCTGACTTTGCTTCTGTCTGCGGGACAAAAGAGCGTTTTGCCAAAGATCCGTGAGGTATCACTACGACACTACACATAACTTGCAGCCCAGTGGTGCCATGTTCAACATTCGGTTTGTTTTGGGTGTTTGGCGATGTTTGGGGCCACATGGCAGAGGTGCACAATGGTTGGTGCATTTTGATTGGTGCTCCAAAGGCAGTCTGCACTGAAAGGCCTCGATTGCAGGCCAAGTGAATAAACCACCATGGTGGATGCGGTCTGCAAACACCATTGCCTGCAGACACGAGTTTGCCCAAGCCCAGGATTTCTAGGACACGACAACAGCGTCCCAACTGAAAGGTTCTGCAACCCGTAGAGCGCACCTTAGAGGAGCCTGCTGACTCCGCTTTGTCGCGTGAAGTGCTGGCCTTGGCCCAGTGGCTTAAAGAGAATGCCGGGAGCTCGGAAAACACATCCCGAGGCTTTGTTGTACTTACACGTCCCCCTCTCTCCCTCTCTCGAATGCTGTCTCCGTGTTTTACATCTATGTTTGTTCGTAAGTGGGTCTGCAATGCTCGTACATGCTTAAAACTTTGGATGGGGACAGAGTGAGAGAGCTGGAGAGAGAGAAAGAGAAAGAAAGACCAAATCCGTTCCGACCGTGCAGCTTCACGCCAGGTTCGACTCGAGTGTGGCTATGTTGAGGATGGAGAAGAGAGAGGCAGAGCTGTCAACACCCCTAAATGTTGCATTTAGAGTCTTTAGGCCTTGCCAACGACGAATTGCACACAAAGGAGGTCGCAACAGGTGCGCACTCACGCATGAATTTGCTCGCATGTGCACACGGACACACACACACACACGCACACAACGACAAAGACGATGTTACTGCGAAATATGTGGGCCATACAGCCAAATCACACTGCCGGAGCGTGTTCATGGGTATTTGGTAGGCCGTTATGCTCTGGTACCATACGTATAATATGGGGCCAGTGGTGGTCGCAGTGAGCTCTGGAGATCTTCAATGTTGACTCTTCTGTGCTGGTAAACGCCTGGTATTCGTAAACCTTAAGCCTTAAGCTTCGGTGCGTCAAGTCTTCCGAATGTTCCCTTCGAGCAGAGACACGCTACAATGAAATCGCAATGGCGAATTGCAGTGAATGTCCATGGAGCAACCCTGAGATTTAATCCGAAGGCCATTCGAGGAGCCTCGCACCTCGCGACTTTTTCAACTGCACTCCAGTCTGCCCAGCCTCGCAGCTTCCAAACCGGCATGCTTTCGAAGGCGCCGCAACTAAGCGATACAGTCATTATTACACCATCGGTGAGTTGTCTTCGCCCGCCGTTGAATCCCAGGAGGGCAGCTGGAAAGGGGGCCGGAGGCGGGACTGAGAGGAGTCAGTAGATTTCTTCGCTGTCGTGCACATGCTAGGAAACAAGATGCTTATCAAGCAGACACTTGGGTCGAACTTACATGCATGCCCTTTGGATCCTCCGACGCTTAAGCAGGTCTGCAGAGGACTGCATCTTCCGGCGCAAGCTGGACGGGACCGCCCTGCCTGTGTTTGTTAGACTCAACGCACTGCCGCGGCGTTTATTCCAAAGGTCTACAAGATGAGGTTCTTCAAGCAGCGGAAGAAGCATTTCTTTTTGACATTCTATTGCTTTTTCGATGGAGAACAAACATGCTTGCTGCTGGCACGTTTTGCAGAGTAGTAGACACTTTGCATGTGGTGGCCGTTCAGCAGGGAAGGACTCCGTATTCCTGATGAAAATCTGTCAGCACGAGCCTCTTGATTGCTTTGCCAGGCTTGTTGTGGAGAGCGCCGTGGAGATCGGTCTGTCGGTGCGGTTCCGTGTCGCAGCTCGGTTCCCGGAAGGGTCCTTGAAACTCTGGGGCTCATCATCGCAACGAAATCAAAGCCGTCCAAACCCGAAGACAAGGCTTTGAGGCTCGCATTGCAGGTTCCGGCTCCAAACAAGAGAATCGAGATGAATGAATCCGAAAGCGAGACGTGACAGTCAACATGTGGTCGGTTGGATGTCTGATCGTCCGCGGAGCTGCGAGTGTATTTTTTCTACATTGACATGGACATCGGGTTTGTCCAGAAAGCCCCTCCACCCTGAGGTCGAAGACAAAGCTGTGGAGATCCTGAAGAAGGTTTCCGACGAGGCGAGCAAGCTAATGTACTGCACGTACTAGTAACTAGCAGACTAGCCACAGCCTTCCACAAGGGAAACATGTGATTGTCGGCTCACTCGAGCACCACTGTGTCACCTGCATTCAGGGGGCTACTTTGCAGACCCTTCCTTCCTCGTAGAAGCACTTGAAAGGCAATCGAACTACGTCTTCGAAAGTGAAAGAGGTCATAACAACCACGGAGCATCACTGCACAAAGAAGTCTGAGAGTATGTAACGCATGCGCACGTGTGCAGACAGAGACAGACTCCCAAACTACTAAAGACCATGACCATGCCTGCGATTCATGGAGGCGGATCGCATTGCAAAGGAGCTGGTTTCGCTCCCAAGTGCCAGCTTCTCGTGCTGCCGTGACTGAGATCTCATCATTGTCTCTGCCAGGAGCGCATACTTCAAGCCATGTACCAATGTACCACTGCTGTGTGAAAACTCGGAACATCTGTCTGCAGAATACTTCCTGCGGCTGACATCAGCCACAGGCCATCGGCGATGAAGATGAACTGGTGGCCCTCAAAGAAGAGAGCGCTGCACAAAGCTGATGCGTGCTGGGAGTTTGCCTTTCAGAAGCGTCGGGCTGCCGACTTTGAGAACTTGTACACCTGTCTCACAATGCAAAGAAATGACTTCTGAAGGCGAGGGCAACCGGCGGTTTCCGGTGCTCAGCTTCGGCAAGGCGGGAGGTGTGGGGGGGGGGGTCCTTGAGCAAAGTCGACGCTGCTATGCATCGAAAACGCTGGTACAGTAACTACTAACGACCAGACATGACCAGAGATAGACTCGGAAGCAGAGCGGTCAAGGAACAAGCTCCGGCTCACTGTCAGCCAGGATGAGTTGCGACTCTCATCCATGCACCTTCAGAAGCTTCGAAGCCTGTACGAGGCGGAAGCAAGACGGCCTTAGGTTCAGCGTTTGGCAGTGGCACCCTCACTCATGGTAGGACCGCATGTCAGAGCCGATGAAGGGAGCAATCCTTGAGCTTATGACTTCTGCGTGCGTGTGCGCCTTTTTCTGTTCTCATGAAAGGCAAAGTCGATGAGGATTCGGTGGTTTTGACTTCTGTCACAATAGAGGAGGAACGTGGCGTCTACTCTCTTGGCAGATGGCTTCTGCAGGTTCACAACGGCGCTGCTCCACACACCGAGGAATTTTCCGGGAGACGGCAGTCTTTAAGGCTTGCATCACGCTGCACGCAACTGTTCACAGCATCATGTAGACTTCGTGTCTCGAGAGATGTTAACCCTATGCCCTAAGTAAATCTTGAGCCCGAAGCCGTAAATCCGCGTCCTTCCTGCAGTTCAGAAAAGTCTCGATGTTGCGCTTCCTACTGACACTGCTTCAACTTACATCCCCAGCTAAAGCCGAGAAGTTTAACACAAAGAGGCCCCCACCCTTTTAGAGGCTGGATCTTGGGCGTCAAATTATGATGCTGCCACTTATGACAAGTTAGTCTTTTGTTGCTGCACCCGCAAGTTCTCGAACTAAGTCGTGCTGTCGAAGTGAACACTAGTCGCTAGTCTCGACGGTACTTCTGCGGCTTTCTGTGCCAGTATGACTGGAGCCACTCTACATTGTGGCTGGTGTGATTGCTCGAACTCTCCGTCCCCGCCAGTAGCACTAGTTGGGAGGACAGACCTGGTTTCTGGGTTGCAGCACTCGCATGGGTCTCGAACGGTTTTTGAAGGTTTCAGTTCTCCTGTGGCGAGGAAGTACGGCTTGCTCTGCTGTTTAGTAGAGCCGTCGATTGTCTTCTCAATCCATGGTGTGGTGCACGTAAGTAACCTGGGCCTGGGCCCTGGCCTAGGCACACTCACAGCCCTGCGGGTGCCCCTTGACATTGCCAACGTTGTGGCCTCCGTAAAACGATTCAGGCTCCCTTGCTTGTACAAATGGTTGTCTTCCGCAGGAGTGGGAGGCGACCTTCAGGCACCTTGCCCCGTGTCCCTGCTTTCTATTTGCTTTCGATTTGACGTAGGATGAACCCATGGGAGGTCGAGGTCCGTATGGATTGGATCCTACTCGTGACTTTAGCATTTGGATCTAGGGTACCATGCTTTGGAGATCGGGTGGGAGATCGCTTCCTTGTGAGAATGGAAGGGGCCCCAACACAGATCAGCGGCTCGGGTTGTTGAGTGACCGCAGGCTGCACCTCAGACAGCAAGCCCACATAACAGGGTTTGAGAGCAAGGGTCTTAGCACTGTGATCAACCAGGAGGACTGTGGGCTTGCCTCTGCTCGGTCTGGCAGGCAGAAGCTGTCGGAATCCTAGCTGGGGTTCTCGATGCATGAGAGCATGAAAGAACTAACTTGGCGGCGTATTCTTACCTGGGGCATGCTGGCGCTGGCTCAAGCTGAGCTTTGCATTCTTTGCATCATCTCCTACTCGGTGGCTTGTGAATACATCCAGCGTCGAAGCATGTCCTTGCGATTGAAGGCTTGCTTGCTGACCCTCTCGAATCTCCTTGCCGTGCATGCCTGGCGTGTCAGCAACCCCCCGGTCCCGAGCTCCCTGGCAACGGCCTCTGAAGAAGAGCAGGCCGGCTTTTGCTCCAGGTCCATGTACGTCCTCGGATGTGGGCCGAGGGAGGTGTGCCAAAGCCAGGGCCGTTTCAGTTGCGCCCTGAAGAGCGACACGGACCTGGCGGATGGTGCTGCCAAAGTCGCCAAGAGACTGCTGGCGAAGGCCCAGGCCTTCAATAGCAGCACTTGGGCGACTCGGGGTGCCATCGAGTTCTCGAAGCTCACTGTGGCCCTGAAGAACTTGAATGTCTATGCTCAGGTTCTTTTGGAGCCAGGGGACATGCCCCTGTTCAGGCATGAGATGCAGGCCGCTAAGGCCAGTGTGTCACAAGCGGCATTGACCATCAATGAGGCTTGGCACAGGAACGGGCTTATGAATAGCCGCAGTAAGTCGGTTTCTCTCCGGTCTTTCGTGGAGTATGTGGAGGAGGTTTCCAAGGAGAACGCGACGTTTGACCCGAGCAAGATCAAGGACTTCTTGATCCGCTGTTTCCCAGGCATTCCCACGGAAGTGCTGGCCGAGACTACGAAAGATGTAGAAACCGCGCTAAGCTCAGATGCCAACCCTCACCCATGACAGAAGGCTGCAGCAAGGCATTGCTGCATGCCTACTGGGGCAAAGTTCTGTCCGGCGCACAGCAATTTCTTGAGGGAGCTGAAGCTGAGCAGGCCGACGACGACGATGAGGGATCTGACATCCCAGACGGATCTGGACTGTTGCAAGTTGAGAACGCTATGGCTGGACTCTTCTTCCTCAGCTTCATGGTTTTCTTTCACATGATGATCCCGTTCATGATTATCAGCCTGCCGATTTGGCTTCCTGGCCAGCTCGTGCTGGCTGCATTCTTTGGCGTCCTCAAGCTGATGGGCATTGGACCCTGAGCCTATGCCTGAGCCTCCCCAAAGGCGGCAGCAGGTGCAGGGCCGGCCGCTCTCCAAACAGGCGCCCAGTGCTACCGGCGGAGTCGACGCATCAGATTGCTGTCCGTGAACCCAAAACTGTTTTGCTTCTCTCTCGACGATTGCCTTCGATTTCTCTCACACGGCCGGCCCACCATGCTCCATGCGTCTCAGTGCGGAGTGATGATGGGAGAATTTCAATGAATTCCGAGGGCTGCTGCCGCAGCTCATCCAGCTTTGTCCTGGCCGAGGTATTGTATGCTGCGCCGCTATGCCCCGGGCTTAAAACCTTTGGGCGTGGTTCTGCCGACACTGCGTTTCGTCGGAGTACCGTTGTTTGCCTCTTGATCGCCTTGCTGATATATCTTCGGTGTTGGACGGATGTTGTTGTCAAGGTGTTGATATTTAGTCGTACTCACCATTGCTACTCCTAGCCGCTGTAGCTGCCTGCTCAACAGCCAAGGTTTAAGGTCAGTACTGTTGTTCTGGTGCTGTTTGTTGCAGAGCACTTGCTTTGAGTCCGCCTCGCAATCGCTCTTATGCTCGTCCGGTTCAGTAGTATGCATGGTGTTGCTCTCGTACTTGTTGTTTGTGTTGTCGTTGCTGCTGTTGTTGCTGCTGCTGCTGTTGTTGTCGTCGTTGTCGTTGTTATTACTGCTATTGTTGTGGTTGTGGTGGTTGTTGTTCTTGCTGCTGCTGCTGCTGCTGTTGTTGTTGTTGTTAGTGTTGGTGGTGGTGTTGTTGCTGTTGGAGATACCTCTGCCATGATGAGTGCTGTCGTGTTGCTTCATAGGAGCATGTTGTCAACGAGATATGCTTAATCGTGTTTGAGCTGTTCGAGATGTCATGTCGCTTGGAAGCTACATCTGAGTTCTTAACGATTGTACAAAGCTGTTACTATATTGTAGTAGCAGATGATAGCGAAACTGCGGTGGGGCCCAAGGTCACGTTCATCGGCCTCGACCCGTCCAAGCAGGGAAGCCAAGGCCTTGAGAGCTGTTGGATGCTTTGACTGGATAGAAGTTTTATAACCCTCTTGACTCTATTGTAGAAATTGTAGTATATTCGCATATGGGAGTATAGTATATGGGGCTTCAGGTTTGAGGTTTGGGGCGCATGCTTTCATGTTCGAATTGTTGGATGTATCACTGTTTGGTTTCAGTGGGGAGTTGGTTTGGTCTACACAACAATCAAGAAGTCTCATCATCAAGCGAATTAGCCATGCTTACCTTCCAAGACAGAAATGATATGACTGAAAAGCAATGCTAATGGCAATGTCGCTAGATTTGCAGAGGTCGCGCTGGCCGTTGATGATATTCCACTTGCTGGTTGAGTGCTCCACAGGATGAGTAAGAGCAAGTCGAATGGGATGCGCTGGTTTTCGCACAATGACAAAAATTCAGAGTTAAAGCATCGCGAAAAGTCACGTTTTCTCCTAAGCTGCCTGCGTGCACGGGCCGCATGTGCGTGGATTGTCCTAATGTTTTAGCGGAGTATCCGAGAACCTCGAACCTTGAGCCCAAGCCGGCTTCTGATCCCACAGTCACAATGGAAAGTGCAGTGATCTTCGACCGAGCAGTAGTTCCTTGAACGCGCGAATCCGTTCGTACGACCCTTAAGCCAAGAGAATTGGCAGAGAAGCCCTTGCCAAGCGTGGAGGTGGCAACATGCATGCTGCAGCGCCTGAGTCTGCCCGGAGCCTAGATTCCAAGAATTTGGGTTGCTTAGAATTGCTTAGATTGTGTTTTTGTTTAGGGCTCACGACAAAAGCAAAGAGAGGAGCCAATCACAAGGGCGAACTCTCTGGGTCTGTGGCCAAAGGCTTTGAAGAAGCAGGCAAGGGAACTCAACACAGAATCCTGCAGTCGGAAATCTTAGTCACATTCAGCACAAGTTTCCCATTTCCACAAAAACCGAGCCGGGAAGTCAGTTCAGCACCATCAACTCCTTTTTCCGGTACGGTTTTCGGATATCTTGCTGCGCTGTCGGAAAGCCTCCTCAAGGTCCAAGTCCAAGGCGCTATACAAGTCTCCCTGTGTAGGCTGGAACCCATGCAGCACCCTTGGTCCTTGTTTTGGTGTCCACGGGCGCCTGGTGCTCCTTGGAGCTTTGTCAAAGGGCTCGCCACTTATGTGCAGGATCTCGTCTCACCTCGCAACGAGCCTCTAGTTTTGCCACGCGGTTGAACAGCGCGGCAAAGCCTGAGACTCGTTGCGAGGTGAGAAGGACCGGCCAATCGTCGTTGCAGAGCCACCCGGATGAGGCGGATGAGGCGCCAGAGCTTCCAAAGAGTTTGCCGAGGCGCCTCGCCAAGGGAAAGGAGGTGGACTGAGAGCCATGGGCGAGCAACCTGGTGCTGATGCGTGGGTCCAGTATGTTTTTGCCCGGCACCACTGTGACAATTCCGCAACTAGCTGAGTACCGAATGTTGCCAGGAGCTAATTGAAGGAGGTGTGTTACGGAGTAGCAACTAGCGGGGAACTCCCTCGTAAGAGGAGTGGGCGATGTGTGCCCGACGGGGCCCCTGCATCCTGAGGCAGGCCCTTTGAATTTTCGGGGTTAGGCTGTAGGCTAACCACGAGAATGCCGCAAGTGTCTCACAGGGCCAACGGTCCACGAGCGGCCCAGTAACATAGGCGAATAGGCGTCGTAGCCTAATCGCAGACTTGCAGACGGCAATAGCCATGCGAAGACTGCTTCAGGAAAAAGGTACTGTAATGGGTCACCCTTTGATGCCTGCTGCAGGTCATGTGTGTTTTTTGTCTGAGGTCTTTGCTTGGCTTCGCAAGGACATCAGCTTGCAAAGTTGATGAACCTGGATGCGGCTGAAAATGATTGATGTCAGACTAGTTAAATGACAACAGTAGCGATTGCAGTTTGTTATGGCTCGGCCCTCACTGCAACGTTCATGTGCTGTTGTCGGAAATCAACGTGTTTCGGCATCACATGGCCAGTTCCATGTCGTACACGGCTCGTCTCCTCGCCTCCATGGCCGCTCTGAGCAGGAAATGGGTGTGTCCTGCGAGCTCTTTGCCTCACCACTGTTGGGAGCTTAGCTGGTGTTGACCTTGGCATGGTGGGCCCGGGGTTGAAGGTTTGCCGACATAAGATAGCAAGTCAAGGAAACCATCGCCAGAGTGATGCTGAACGAAACAGAGAGTTAAGGTCGTCATCCTCATAATCATCAGTACCTGTACTTGCACGTGCGCTTAGCACTAGAAGAAGAAATCGCTGCACGCAAGGATGAAGAATTTCAATAGCAACTGGCCATGACGACGACTTGCAGCGATTCATACCATTGCCATCGCTGTTGTGAGACTTATGGCCAGTACCACTGCCACCATAGATATGACGTCCGTAGCTGCTCGCAGTTGTCAGCCAGGAATTGCTATTTCGCACAGTTCTACTCGGCATTTCCGGATGCCTCGGCCTTGGTGAAGACTGGAAACTGACCTGCATCCAGCGACTCGCATGAAACCCAACAGCTTCGGTGTCTCAAGCAGGGCACGAAAAGGTCAGCGAAGGTGGAACAGGCGGCAGGTTCAAGATGCTGTGGCGGAGTTCTGTGAGGTTCGTTGGATTTGGGAGTAAGGTTAAGCTACTGTTTGAGATCGTGGCTCTTGGCACATAAGTTAGTCAATGGCATTTATTTATGCAGCAAGGTGCTTTCACTGATGTCGAGCCTAGCACCATCCGAGCTTCCGAACCTGGTGTTGCAGAACCTTCCGTTCTATCGTCATTTGCTTGCTCATGCCCAAGCCCAGCCCGACATCCCACAACCCAAACGGTGTCCCTCGATCCCTGAACCCTTACATGTTTAAGCCCTATACCGTCCATACATACCCCCTCAATGAGCCTAAATACCTCAGTCAAACTTCTCAAGCCGTAAGCTGTCTGTAGCCTGAATTTATGGGACAGCCGAGGTTGATTCAGCCTTTGGTTCGCGGGGCTGGACACTCGAGCAGGAGGGTTTACATAGCTCCAGGGCAACAGGGTTTGAGGAGGGAGTTGGGTGTGGATTTGGGCTGTTTGGGTTCGAATTTAGGGTTTACGATGTGTTTGCGTCGGTTTGCTGTTCGGTTGGGCTCACTTGTTGAGCAGGTATCTGGTCGAATCACACTCATTAGGAGGCTTCGGGGGACGTATCGTTGCGGCGTGCATTGGGAACCGTGGTGCGTGAGGCAACCCGAACAAAGCTCCTTACTGTGGGGTACTGTAGCATTACGATCTCAAGACGTACAAGGTACATGTCATGTCCCTCCCTAAACCCTCGAAGCCTACATCGTCATGAACCCAAAGCCCCTGGCTTCGCCGAAGGTTCTTTCTTCGAGGCAGCAGCGCTACCAGAGACTTTGTTGTGCATTGGCTGGAGACAGGAGCAGTGCAGAATCGTGTCATGAATGCAACAAACGTAATTAGCAAGTAGACAAGAACAAATGCAGGCCATGCCTCCGAAGTTCGCGGCCATAGGGGAGGAAGCTGCATTGAGCCCGCCCAGGAAGGCTCTTATGAAGTTGGCCCTCCCTACACGGAGGAGGCTGGGCCGAAACTTTGGGGTGTTGCTTAAGCTCCGTGTCACGTTGTCGGTGTTTGCCAGAGTCACAGAGTCACAGGCAGAGTAGGCAACAGGCAAAAATGATCAAGAAAGCGTATGAGATGGACATACAAAAAAGGTCG